GTTAAAAACCTTTTTTTTCGACCGGTTAAAAACCGGTTTTTTCGACCGGTCGAAACCTTTTTTTTTCGACCGGTTGAAAACCGGTTTTTTTCGACCGGTTAATACTCGGTTTTTTTAACCGGTTGAAAACCGTCTTTTCGACTAGTGAAAATCAGTTTTCTTGACCGGTCATAGTTTATAATTTTTAAAAGTCGGACTGTGTGATGCGGCCTTTGACGGTAAGCACCGCAGCACACGCTGTTCGTGAGCGCCGGTTGCTTATATAATATACGAGCCCAGAATCATATCATTTGGCCCAGTCACAGAAAAGTCAATATTTTATTTTTTACTAAATTTTGGTAAACACAAAAAAAAATTGATTGAATTCAACTATTATTATTGTAATAGTTGGATTCAATAGATTTTTCTTTCGTGTTTGTTGTCTAAAATTAAGTAAAAAATAAAATATTGACTTTTCTGTGACTGGGCCAAATGTGTATTTACTAAATACACATAAAATACGCATAAATACTATTTATTAAATAGTATGTACTACCTATGAACCATCATAAAACATGAAATATTTTTTGCAACTCTTATAGTATTTGATATATCTTTCTTTAGAAGAAATTCTTTCCCATAGTGGTCTTTATATGCTGCCAAAAGAATTTGATTTGCTGGTTTTTATTTACCGTGCAATTGTTAAGTCATCATCATAACTCGGTTAAAAACTCGTTCATAAAACCAGTTAAAAATCGATTTTTCTGAATAATCAAAAACCGGTTTTGGATCAATTTCTAACCGCTTTTAAAAACCGAATTTAACCGGTCAAAAAATAGTTTTTTTAACCGGTCGTAAAAACCGGTTTTTAACCGGTCGAAAAAACCGGTTTTTAACCAGTCGAAAAAACCGGTTTTTTAACCGGACGAAAAAATCGGTTATTTAACCGGTCGAAAAACCGGTTTTTTCGACCGGTTAAAAACTGTTTATGTACGGTTTTCAAAACCGGGTTTTTTCAAAACCGGTTAAAAATCCTATGACCGGTTAACCGCCTCATAATTTTATTTCTGACAGCCCTAGTATTTAATGCAATATGGTTGTCATCTGTATTGGATACGGTGAATCAATGGATATTTACCTACTTTTCAATAAATAACATTGGGTTTTAAAATAAAAGTCTTATTCTTTAATTTAAATATTTAATTTTATGAAAACATAAAAAAGAACAGAAAACTACATATAACTAAAGAAGTGAAGTCTCTGGCTTGCCATCACTCCTCCACCTGTCATTTGCCTTTTTATCAGCCTAATCATTTAGGGCCTATTTCACCTGTCTCCTTATGATCCCCAAAATTTGGCCAATCCATCAGCCCATTTGTTACCCTAGAGCCTATGTATAGCTTACAAATAAAGGTACGGTATATAAATGCATGCATGTATTCACCTTTAATGTTTTACCTTCAATGCTAACCGAAAGTTTATAAATTGCACTTAAATATACCTACCTATTTAATTTAAAATTGTATTAGTTTTAGACCAATACAATTTAAAATGATAACTATGATTAGAAAATTAATAAAATATTCACTTACCACTATGGACCTCAAACAAATAACCACAAAACACAATAACTTGGCAATAAACTTTATGACAAACATATAACAAATAGCAATGATGGCGAATGAACCTTTACAATCTGTGGAATGAAGCAAATAAACATGAAAACCCTTTGCATGTACCTAACAATCATGGCATAATATTTAACGGACGCTACCATAGAAAAAGGACGCTTCTTTATCTTCTGTGTTCGGCGGCAGTGTTGTCAGACGTTTAAATAATTTCAGAAAGCTCATCAAAATGGAGGTTATATTATTAAATCTTTAATACTTAATTAATTAGTATACCTAGTATACCTATTTAACATAAATGTGGTGAGTAATTATTTTAAATTTATTTAATAAAACTTAATAAAGTACAGAAATATATTTCGTTTAGTTATTTTGCTTCTAACCGGCAACACTGAAGATTCTCAAATTCAGCGCGTGCGTACTACTATGAAATACAATAATAAACAAAAGGGACTTAAGTAATTTTTTAGAGATGGGAATCGGAAAGTTTCCATTTTAAGGAAACTTTCCGTTTTGAAAAGTTTCCAATTGGGAATTTATTTTCATTTTGAAAGTTTCTTTTAAGCTACCGGAAACATTCCTTGGAAACATTCCTTGGAAACTTTCCTTGTTTTTTTAATTTAAATGTCAATTGTTTAACCGCTGATTTTCGTTAAGGCCATGATACAAGGCCAAGAAACTTTGAATAAGAATTTAATTTGTGTTAATTTAAAGCAGAAGAAGAAGTATAAATAATGTAAGTTATGTTACATAACCTCAATGAAGCCGGATTATTCAGCATGAACACAAAAAACTTAAAAAAAAAAATAAACAAATATAAAATCATTCTTACATTTTTGTTGTTTATTTATATATATGCCTATAGGCATAGCACAATGCCAAGAGAAAAATCTAGTGTTTGGAATTATTACAAAATAGTGCAAAAAAAAACAAAAAAGACCATGCTCTCAAGCAAGTTCTGTAAGAAAATCTATGTCGTTAATGCAACCAAAAATTTGACAAAAAGTTAATGTGTTATATATTTTTGCAAATCCCTGGCACAAAAAGTTAATGTGTTATATATTTTTGCAAATCCCTGGCATAAAAAAAATATTTTCGCAATAAAAAATTTTTTTTTGAAACTTTCGGAAAATTTCGGGAATTTTCGATGGAAAGTTTCCGGGAATTTTCGTCAAATGGGAATTTTCCCATCTCTATAATTTTTTATTGTATTGCAGACTGTCATAGTCATATTATTAACAGAAATAATATCTAGGTAAAGTGAACATTTCAAAATTAAAAATTTCGTAGCTCTTGGCAAAAAATCAATTTACCGTAAAGTTGTTTTTTTGACATATGCCAGTTCTTAATTAAACCATCACAAAATCCCACATGTATACATACAAGTATATATACAAGATATCCATATCAGTTATCCACTGGATATCCAGTGGATATACATTAGATGTACAGTGGATATACTTTAGACATACATTAGTTATCCATTGGATATATATTAGAGATACTTTGTTAAAATTGGTTTAATAACGATTTAAATCATATTTATTAATCATTACATAAAGGGCTATATATAGCCCTTATAAGGGGCTATTTTAAAAAAGAAAAAAATATTTTTAATGTTTTTGTTTTTTTTGAACACCCAGTATGGATATCCATTGGATATCGTAAAAGGCATGGATGTTATATGGACATTGGGATAGCCATTGGATATCCATTGGATAGCGTGTTCTGTGTGGGACTAGACCCTACTAAATAGTACGGTCAATATATTATACATATATGTAAAAAAATTCGGAAAAAATTATCCAGTAATTTTTATTGCATAAATCATTTAGGGCTTATTTGAAAAGCTTAACCCCAAACCAAATAGCAATACCAAGAGTTTTTGTGCATTACACAAAAAGGAGTACCTACCTACTATTTTATGCTCTTACTTAAATGTGTTTTAATTTTATCAAGTGGATAGGTAAAATCATCCATTTCATAAAAAAGATATCCAATTCATAAAACGCTGATTTGGATATCCTTTTCACGAACTGGATGACTTCACCATTTGATAAAACACAAATAAATTAGTGAGCACGACATTTACAATGCTCAATAAGCATTGCTCATGTTTGTCATTGCGGCTTGCACCGTGCATCTATCACCGACGCGTTGGTGTTTCGGTCGTAAAACTCGACAAATCTAGCTAGAGACTTTAAAAACCTGCAGTGTGCGCAAAACTTTAAAGAGAGAACGCATTCAGAAGAAAAGAGATGCATGATACGGCCGATCTCGGCCGCACAGAGGACTTATAAAGGTTGAAATATCAACATTATTAAAGTTATTTAAGAGTAAACATTTTTACTAAAAAATAGTAAATTTTCGATTTATTTATACAATTAGAATAGAATTATATGTATTGTAACAGGGGTAACAATAATGCAAATAAAAATAGGTCATAATCCTTTTGAAAATTTGTGTTAGGGTTAGGTAACTTTTTATTGATATAAGTATTAACAAATTATGGTAAATTGACAATTATTTTTAAAGAGCCTAGTAGTGAGTAGCCGCTTTTATTAATAATGGATTTTAAACCAAAATTAAAGTGTAAAGTTTTGTCAGGTCAAGCTAGAGAGGTGATAGCTAATGTCATTTTTTTAAGCAGCAAGAAGCTGCACAAAACGGCCCTATCCGTGATTTTAAAATGTCCAAGAGCGTGCTGCATTAGCCACTGGTGTTTCCAAGCGATGTCAGCATGCTATAAAGTTTAAGAATTATTTTATGGGGAAAGAACCGGCTTTGGATTTAGTCGTGCTTGATTTAATTATTAATTTTCAAGGGGACAGTGACAGCGAGGTAACCAGCGAAGACAAAAGTTCGGACGAATTTGATCCGTTGTAGAAAAAAAATATTTTATTTAATAAATAACAAGATAATATTAATAAATTTTTATACTTGATTTACTTTCATTTTAATCCACTGTGCGGAGCGTTCTTTACCCTAAGGAAAACTCAATGCAAATGACGATTTTAAGAGCTGGCATCTGCGCTCGATGGGGCACGTCTCTAGCTAGATTTGCCAAGCTGTAGGTTAGCACCATTTACCACTAAACAAAAAGTTTGCTTCAAAAATACGCTTGCGAGAGCCTTTGCTATAATACATAAGAAATATTTATATAGCTGGTATTAAATAAAACATACCTATAGGTATACCTAATTCCTTATGGAAATAAAAAAATCTTTAAATAAATAAAATCGTTTTTAGAGAACCCTTAAAATTGAAAAACCTAATTGGTTACAATTAAAAGCAATTCTAAGCAAAAAAGTTTCTTACGGTTGACCCAAAAGATTTTTTTGCAGGATTTTTTTTTTAAAGATTGTTTCATTCTAATTTTTTTTATTGTTTCAGGCCAACTTCTATTTTTCTATGCAATGTTTTATATAGTCCTAGCTGCCTTATTCGCAATATGTATGCAGGGTCTGTTTGCTACTATAAGCGTTCAAGAACCTACATGGAAACTAGAAGAGAGTTTAATAGGAAACAATCCAGGCTTAGGTTTTAGACCTATATCGGATAAAACGGAAGATGGTTCTCTTATTTGGTACAACACAACAAATCACACTACTACAACCAAGTGGGTTAAACTTATGAACACTTTTTTGGAAGGTATGTTTATTATTTGTTAATAATTACTGGTCCAAAGTAAAAGAACCGTTAATTGCATTTTCTTTAAAACTGAGAAAAGGTTACTGGTAAATAAGGGTAAATTTAAAAGTTAAAAAACAAAGTAGTATTTTTTAAACTGCCTTAATTAAACCCTGAACGTTTAGACAACTCAAATAGAATTGAATGGCCATTGGTTATAAAAACAATCATGATACAAAAAAATGGTTTTATCGACCCTAACTTTCTTAAAGGTTCAATTTAGGATACTTTTTCAAGTTCAATTTGGGCAATTTTTTCCACAAGGTGTTCCTAAAATGCCTAAACAAAATATGTTCCTGAAACCAAAATAATGCTAAATACCTAAATTTACTTCTGTACAAAAGTTGATAATAACCTAGATACAGGGTGTCAATGTTAAAAGTTCTTTTTCGATTTTATTGAATTTGAAATCGTTTTTGCATAAAATTTTATATTAAGAAATTATTAAGGGCACTTTGCATACTTCACGTTTCACGTTTTAATAAAAATATTACTTTTTTCATATTTATTTTGCAAAAAGGACACCTTGTAAATGTCACTCCAAGAAATTTCAACTTTGACACCTGGTGTCTTGGTTTTTATCAACTTTTTTTTATAGATAATACTTATTTATAGATAATAATAATTTAATAAATATTACATTACAAAAACATTTATCTTGTTTAATTAATGTTTTAATCTTATACATCTTACATTTATTGTATTTTTAGATTACAATAAATCTCAGGTTGGCGAAAACTATGTACAATGTGACTTTCATAAACTTCCTGAACCAGATCAAGCCTGTGCCATTGACATTGGTGATTTTGGAAATTGTACACCCGAAAAAAATTATGGTTACAATTCCACATCCCCTTGTGTATTTTTAAAATTAAATAGGGTAAAGCAAGTTTTTTGTATACAGGATGTCCCAGAACTCGCGCCACGGAGAAAAAGGGGGCATGTTGATAGCAATGGAGATGACAAAATTAAAAATATCTAGGTACCTAAGTACTAGTGTAATCAAATAAAAGCAAAAAAGCGGCAGCCAATACCGAGAGCTCTCGCTTAGGTTAAACGTAGGAGATTTAAAAATTGCTAGGAGACGATAGAACATTGTTATCTTAAAACTTTTAAAATCCTTTTGTCCGACTGTTTTTACTAACCTTTAAAAAAGGAAAATTTGCCAAGTGTACCAGGTGAAAAAAATTTTCTCACCGATTTTGTTTAAACTTTACTTATTTGTTGTTCTTATAACGAAGAATTATAGCATAACATTTTTTTGCTCTAGGATTGTTCATTCAAGAGTTATGGATTATTGAAATTTATCGATTTTTTAATTTTTGGTGAAATCGCTTTTTATTTAAAAATACATAACTTCTGTTCATCTCTTTATTAAATATTTCAATTTAACCACCTTAAATGATTTTTTCCGTACTTTTCAATAGGCTATACCGTTTTTGCAAGCAAAAAAAATTTGCAATTTTTTTTTGAAATTTTGCAAAAATTTGCATTTTTTGAAACAATGTATTTTTTAATTTTTTTTTTAAATAGCATAAAATCGAAGTTTATTATGTTACCTTTGAAAAAAAAAAAAATTAGAGTGGGCCCGACATGTAGAAGGGAAGTTTTTCATATTTGAATGCTTGCTGGTCTAGCCATCGAATAGCTACTACACTGCCGTATGCGTTTATACCTAGTAGATGCGAGTAAACGAATACAAATAGGCGCCATTCAGCTTATAGGCAAGCCGTTATGGTTATAACAATAAATTTTTTATTTAATATCATCGATCCTCCTTGCGAAATCTATGTAGACCCATGCTTAAACGATTTGTGCAAAAAAATACAGTTAAAAAACTATATCGTGCGGCAGTGTTAATATTTAAAATACATCATTGACTACTCAAACATAATTTTACATTTTAAATTATCATTTTGTATTCGTTTACTCGCATCTACGGCAGTGTAGTAGCTATTCGATGGCTAGACCCGCACGCATTCAAATATGAAAAACTTCCCTTCTACATGTCGGGCCCACTCTACATTTTTTTTTTATTCAAAGGTAACATAATAAACTTCAATTTCATGCTATTTAAAAAAAAATTAAAAAATACACATTGTTTCAAAAAATGCAAAATTTTGCAAAATTTCAAAAAAAAATTGCAATTTGCAAAAACGGTGTAGCCCATTGAAAAGTACGGAAAAAATCATTTAAGTTGGTTACATTGAAATATTTAATAAAGAGATGAACAGAAGTTATGAATTTTTAAATAAAAAGCGATTTCACCAAAAAGTAAAAAATCGATAAATTTCAATAATCCATAACTCTTGAATGAACAATCCTAGGGCAACAAAATTTTATGCTATGATTCTTCGTTATAAGAACAACAAATAAATAAATATTTTTTTTTCACCTGGTACACTTGGCAAATTTTGCCCCATATACTTTAGGACGATAACAACTAGTTCTGTACCCCAGATCAAAAGTCTCTAGCAACCACTCTAGCGGGATTATCTGCAGGTGCTGCACTCGCGTAAAATGAACGTCCTTCATAACCAGCTGAACTGTAAACGGGAATTCGCTCGTAACTTTCCTTATGCTCTTCCTACCATAAGGCATTGAATAGTATATTCTGTACAGCATATTCCGCTCGAGTGAAGAGTGTCACACGAGCCGAAGGCGAGAGCGGAATATGCAATTCCAAACGTGTTTCAGACTATACTTTTTCTACGTTTCCAAAAAATATCATAGAAAAATAATTTAATTGGAAGAAAGTGAGGTTGGATCGGTCTAAAATTTGTTAGATATTAAAAACAGAGATGTCGCCACGAGTGTTTATTCTGTAATCAGATGATAGAATATTTCATTCTGTAGCACTTTACGGAATATATGTCATTCCATAGACAAAAGTGATATTAGAACGGTCAAATTCCGTAATAGGAGTAGAAAAAATAGCTTCTTTATTTTCCACTGTTCTAATACGTTAAGGAGCACCTTCAATTTCGTTACAACGCAGAACAACTTTACAGTCCAGGGGACGATCGGGAAAGCGCTGGAAAAAAACTCGTGTTAGGCTACAGCAGCTAGCATTGCGCCCATACTCCCCATAAATAACAATGATTTCGGCATAATCAGAGGAGTACAAAAGTACAAAAATTGACAGCAGTGTCACAATGAAGTGGATCCCAGTCGACCAAATATTTTACATATTATAATATCAACAATGCATTCTAAGTATCCTAGAGGTTTAAAGAATTTCCTATGGCCATGTATTGGGATAGGTTTTTATTCTTATGTCGCTTATCTTTGCGTTTGATAATATTAATTTTTAAGTATGTGTCCCCTTTTTTCTGTGGCGCGAGTTCTGGGACACCCTGTATAAAGAATGTGGTGATAGGCACAATCCACATTGTGGTAATATGGATCTACAAAAAAAAAGTATTCTTCCAACATATGTTTATGCTGATACTATGACTATTTGTCAAATTTGTATGATACCGCAAATATATTTGATTTAATAATACTAATGGTGGTCCATGTAATAATCAGATTTTATATGGATGATATGCATATTACCACATTCTTCTATTTTTTTTAAGTATGTATTTATTTTAAATTTTTATTTTAGATTTTCGGTTGGAAACCTGAATTTTTTACCGAACCTCAAGATGACATGCCTATTGCTTTAAAAGAACATATCAATGTAGGTTATTTTTAAATTAGTCATAAAGGGTGGTGCACATAATATGTCACAAATATTTTTGCAATATTAGACCTCCCTCCCCAAAGTTAAACATCGTCACAAACCTAAAAGTAAAAACATATTAAAATAGTTCCCCATGTAACGTATTATGTGCACGACTGCTTAAGGCCTTATTAATCAAAAAATATTATAAACAATTAAAAACGTAAAAAATTAATAATAAAAGTTCTATAGATAATCTTTAATTTTCAAAAAATAGTGTCTAGTATTTAATAAAAACAATAATAAAAATGAGTTATTATTAATAAGTATTATTATATTTTAGAGCATAATAAACAAAAAAGAAAGGCAGCAAATTTGGGTAAGCTGTCAAGGAGAAAATGCTTTAGACAAAGAATCAGCTACCCAATTCGAGTATAAACCACATGGTTTCGCTGGATATTTTTACCCATATTTGAACACTCCAAACTATAAAAGTCCTCTTATCTCTGTTCGAATTTTAAATCCAACACGTAAGTAAATTTGGTTTGTAATTATTAAAAAAGCAAAAATTTGTGATGTAAAATGTGAAAATCTCCCTTAAAATTGTATTGATTATTAAAGGAAGATATGTCCGATTAATTGAAATTTAACGAAATTTCTGTCTTTTGCACTACATCAGTATACTGATGATCGAAGATACCTATAGGTATTAATTAAATTAAACATCGAATCGTCGCGAGATTTCGGTAACAAGAAGATGATTTATCAGTGCCGCGGCTTGCCGTTTGTTCGTATAGAGCGGCTACCGAAATACATGTATTTAATTGTGCCTGAACATAGAGATGATGGACGGGGTGACATTCCTTAGACCGCTCAACTTAGCCTGAACGGACATTTTTAGGGTTGTTGAGTTGACCGTCAAATGGTTTTTGGTGAACTGTAAATTGACAAATAAATAAAATAAAATAAAATAAATAAAACAATAAGTTGTTTTTCTGCGATATAACTTTGGAAGGTCGGCAATATGGTTGCCAGGCGTCCGGCTTTAGCCTGCCATGTTTAGCTTTTTACGGTCGTGTCCGACTTTTTCTTGTTTAACTAATGGTTAATTTTGTAACAAAACATCATTTGTATGTAGGTAATTAAGACGAATGTAGGTAAATTGCAGAACAAAGAAATAATGCTTATACAACCTAAATAGGTACTGGTCAATTGACGGCTAATTGACCATCACCAACTCTAAACATTTTACCACATACTAGTAGTGTAGTGTCCTAACGGGATTTTACAGACTAGGATGTAAAAACTTAACTTAGCACATTTTGATGTGGATATATTAAAAATAAATACTCCAGAGTATTTGGGAGTACTTTTAACCAAACAAAAGTTGTAGTTACATAAGGAAGTCGTCAAGCGTAAACAAAGTTTAAAGCTGTGGCATTATTGTGTTCTTGATTGATATAAACATAAAATCCAAATTTAAGCCCATTTATTAAAATTTGTTCAAATATAATTATATACGAGTACTTAAGTAGGGTGTATTTGTTTTGAAAAATTTTAATTCTTAGATTTAGCTAGATTGGCGGTGTTTGCCATGGCTAAAGATGCGACTTGAAAAAAAACGGTCCGTTTTATTTGTTTTTTTTCAGGTTTTTTTTTCATTGTTTTTTTTCAAATGGTTTTTTTCACATTTTAGGTTTTTTTTTCAAGATTAGTCCCATTTGCCTAATTTTTTATGTTTCCATGGACTAAAATTAGCCACTAAATGACAATTATTAAATGTAAATACAGTCTCGCGTTATGCACTAGCCACAACCACCGATTTGACCAAAAAGGGCCGCGCTTGTTTTGATTTGGTCCTAAAAAAAGTAACTACATATAATATTTTTGATTCAGCGCTTGATTTTTCAAAAAGCTACCAAAAGCACTTTTTTCATGATTTTTCAAATTTATGTAGATTATGGAAATTTTTTTTCATGTTTTTTTTCACATCTGAAAAAAAACCGTTTTTTACATCTCTAGCCATGGCAGTGATTTTTTGTCGTGATTGGATTCCGTCGTCATTTGATATTGAAATTAGTACCGACGACAAATTTTGGAAGGGATTATTTTATCTCACTTAAAATGATTTTGATATAAAAAAATAAAGCCCCAATATACATTTTAAGAAAATAAAGTAAAAAAAAATTGTAAAATAAAAATTAATAAATTTATTGTCAATGTAAAAATTTTACATTTTTTTTTCAATAGTTTCATAAATAATCCTCTTAAAAGTTTACTATCGTATCTTGGTAATATTTATATGATATATGGAAAAACGCTGAACAAACGGGCAAAAATTTAAATTTACTGCTCTATCACTAAAAGTGTTTAACATTTTTAGAAAATTTATTTTCTAATTGTGTCAATTCTGCCCTGTGGAAAATAAGGTTAAAAGATAAGGTAATTTTTATTTGTAGAGATTGCAAGTTAAAGTTTCAATAGCATTGTTGAGAAAAAAATATCATAAAAATTCTATTTACACTAAAGATATAAAACTCCAAAGTTTTATCCTGATTCGCCTCGTCACCACTGCAGTCAGTATTTTCTGAAAATGTGTTAACCCACACGTCAAAACGCAATGGTACCATTAGAATTTTTTTTATATACTTTTACATAAATTAGAAGTCTTAAAACATTAATAAAAATATAATAAAATTTATTTATTATTAAAATGACGCGTTGTATGGCGATGGTGCGCGTTTGTTTTCTGATTTAAATAGGTAAAAACCAATCCTTTTCCAAAATTTTCTATGAAAAATTGTTTTTCATACCTATAGGTACTTTGTACATTAAAAAAATAAACTTACATTTAAAAAAATATTTCCTCCGAAAATACATGTATAAAGCTTTTATACTATTTAGTTACACAAAAAGGTATATGGTGCATGTATATATTGTATTTAGGATTCCTTGCAAAGGTGCGTAAAATCAATTTGGGTATTTTAGGAGTGGAAATCCTATTATAAATCCTATTATGAAGTTTCAAATTTAGTTTGTGCGTTTAGTTAATTAATCAGGGGCAGTTGAAACCAGTTGCACAGTACGTATCAAGGTGTCCATTTAAACGAGCGTCTCCTTTTCGATCGATACCTATGTATATAACACAAACACCAAACCAATTTAAACTGCTTTTTATGTGTTTTCAAACATGCTTTTCCTTTTTATCGATTGATATAACAAAAATACTTTACTAATTGGAAGCGCTCTAGAGAGAAATATATATTTCTCTCCGGAAAATTTTTGGCTATTTTTATCACAAAGTTCGTAAAAGTAGAACTTCAAACTAGCCCCGTAGAATTTTTGATTAATTTTCAGAAATCAAAAATACTCAAAATATAGTGCGTTGGTTAATTTAACAAAATAATTTAAGTTTTGAGAAAATAGGGTTTCCACCCATAGTAGAAATTTTACGTAGAAACAACGTTTTTCCTACGTTGAGAAAACCTAACTTTTGTGTATAATTTTATGTTGAAATTTCCCAATCATACAATTTATTTAAATGCATAAATCTTAAAAAAATTATAAATTGGGTAATTATTAAATATATATTTAATAATTACCCAATTTATAATTTTTTTAAGATTTATGCATTTAAATAACATACATATATGTATTTGTTTCAGCAAACATAATCATCAGTATTGAATGCAGAGCATGGGCTAAAAATATAGTATACAGAGGTGGTTCGCTAAATAGGGCTGGATCTGTAAGTTTTGAAATTATGGTCGACACAGAAGGAAAAGCTAACGTTATGGAAGCTAAAATCTAATTTTTTATGTGTTTATGTGTGTTGTTTCCTGACTTGAGCCTGATAGTACTTATTTTTTGTTATTTTATTTGTTGTTATTTTCTTAACTACTTAGGTTGTGCAAGTAGGTTTAACAGTGTTTTGTAGACTATAATAATAATCACAAAACTGCCTTAGAACAAATGTAAAGACTAATATATACCTAGACGACATAATATTATCTGATTAAAATTTATTTGGCATTTTGGTACTTACTACAAAATTTTTAAGTTAATTTTTATTTATAAAACATGTAGGTCCTAATTAATTAATTACTGACATAAGTGTACAGCTATGTTTTTAATTGTCATATTATGATTTAAAATCGTAAGTAGCAATCTAACCATAAATTGTAAACGAATTTTATTTTAGTAAATCCACAAAAAAGTAAACCTTATTGTATATAGGTAATATAAATAGGTGCTACAATTTTATTTTTTTATTAAAAATTATACCTCTATGTCTTTTTTAAAACAACAAAACTAATTATAAAATATATTTTTAATAAATAAATTAAAATATGTAAGATTTTTATCATACAATTCTAGAACAGACCATTTTAAATTAATTATTTAGTAAAATGTGATGTCAGTAATTAAGCATTAATTATTTGGCATTTTGGTACTGACTACAAAATTTTTAAGTTAATTTTTGTTTATAAAACATGTAGGTCCTAATTAATTAATTACTGACAGAAGTGTACAGCTATGTTTTTATTTGTAATAGGTATTATGATTTAAAATCGTAAGTAGCAAACTAACCATAAATTGTAAACGAATTTTATTTTAGTAAATACACAAAAAAGTAAACCTTTTTGTATATATACATATATATTTATATAAATAATATAAATAGGTACTACAATTTTATTTTTTTATTAAAAATTGTACCTCTATATCTTTTTTAAAACAACAAAACTCAATTTAAAATATGTAATACTTTTATCATACAATTCTATAACAGACCATTTTAAATTAATTATTTAGTAAAATGTGATGTGATTAATTAAGCTTTTAACACCATTTAAAGAAATAGTATTCCGTAGCACGATTCAGTTAAATCATTTATTTCGATCTCTAAGTTTATTAAAAACACATTAGCCGGGACCCAAATTGTTTCATGTTAATGTAATATATTTACATGAAACAATTTGTATTTATAAACAATATCTGAAAACAGTCATCATGTATAATAAGCATTAGGCGTAAAGCTTAAAGTTCTTAGTTATTATGCTTAATAATAATAATAATATAATAATAATAATATAATAATAATAAATAATATTAAACTAAACTTAACAATAAGATTTTTAAGTTGGTAGTTTAGAAATATAATAATACCTGAAACATTTACTCTCTAAAAATTAATTAGTCAAAAATGGCTAATTGTCATAGCGAAAAAGCATTTAGTAATAATTCTCGTTAATAGCAATTTGTATCCCGAACATTTATCAGTAAATTTCCATGTAAAATTGTCCTAAAATTTCGTCAAAAGTAGAACAGTTTTTGAGATATAGTCAATTTTCCATTGAATATGGAATTTACTAAACCTCAAAACTACTCTACTTTCATAATTTTGACGATATTTTCGGATTCAGGGGACAATTTTACATAAGAATTGGTTATTAAATTTTAATAAACAATGGTATCCCAAGTTTAACCATGGTACAAGTGAAAAAGCAGTAACTGTAGTAATTAGGCTTTTTGGGCTAATTCATAGTTATTAGGGGTGATGTAGGTGAATACAAAAAATATATTCTAATAACTATTTATTCAAACCAAAATATCTTACTTGTAATGCTATAAGATATTAACAATATATTACAAAAAAAACAAGTAATATATTCTAAAATGTATTTATTAATACAATAAAATATTATTATTAATGAACAACTTTGATATTGCCTAAAACAAGGGAGCTGACTTTTTAGTTCATATTTTTTGTGTTCCTTGAGTTTGCAAAAAGTAACTTAACTTAATCTCTTATTTTTTCTTAAGGAGAAGTACTGTTTTTGCAGAACTTAGTACTTGGCAGGTACTTGGTAACCTTGCATAGTACCTATTAAAAGGAATTATATTTCATTTTAAGTAAATCGTCAGATAAAAAAGTAACAGATTGACAAGTGACACCAATTTATTGCAATGGGCCCGCCGCCCACCATGGATATTAACTGAAATATTTAGTTATTATGCATAATGCCTAAATTTAATAACTTAAGTTCTTAGTTCTTATGCATAATAACTAAAAACTTTAGGCATTAAAATGCTTATTATTATGCATAATGACTGTTTTCGGATATTGTCGGTAACGTTTATTTTAAATGTAAAGTTAAATTTGTAACATTATATTTAACAAATGTAACTTATATAATACAGAGTGTCTCGAAAATAGTCGGCATAGGCAAATGGCCCCTAAAGGAGCTGCAGCCTCTTAAAGGATGTTTTTTTATTATTATTTACGAAACAGTTTGAGATAAAACAATGAAATTTTGTTTGCTTACTGAACTTTTTATGTTGAATTTAAAAATAATAATAAGATTTAAATTTTTATTTATGAGTATTTTAGCCCCAAATTTTTTGTGTGATGTTTTTTTCATAAGTTGGCTGCAGAATAAAAAAATTTAGAGTTTTATACGTAAAAAAGGTACTCGATAAAATCCACCATTTTAAAATTAAAATAAAATTACAAATTTAAAAAAAAATTCTCTTTGTTCTTTATTAATTTAATTTATTAAAAAATAAATATTAAGAAAAAATACATATATTTCCCAAAAATACATTATTTTATCGTATATAATACCACTAGTGGTAAAATTTTACCGATAAAATTTTTGATTTTTATACGAATGTTTTTTTCTTGGAAATTTCGCAAGTGGCATTAATTTTTAAGACCACGAGCCGCTAGGCGAGTGGTTTGAAGTTAATGCCACGAGCGAAATTTCCAAGGAAAAATCTTGAGTAAATAAAAATCAAAAAATTTTTCAGGGAAAATTTTATCACGAGTGGTATTCGGCAAGACTATTTCACGAATATTTTTAACTGCTGATTCAATTTCTGTATGATTTTTTGGACCAAAACGCATATTTTTTAACATTTTAATTTTAAAATTAAAAACGTCAACAGTGACAATTATTTTTATCATAGCAACCAATTGGTTGTTATGCAACTCGTATAAACGAGTGTTTTTTTCACCTGAATAGTAGTTTTATCGCTGCAAAACTGAAAAAACCACTCGTTTTCTGAAATCTGATTGGTCCAAAAAGTAATGAGTGGAATAGTCTTAATTAAAATTTAAACCGTTTTAGAAATAATAATCATAAAACATCTAAATTTAGGGGCGCCCCTATGTATGTCCCTTGGGGGCCATTTCCAACCAATGTTCATATAAAGGTTTTTTTCTATTTATGGCCCTAAAAACCGCCTGAAGATTATTGCACACTATTTTCGGGATACCCTGTATATCCTTGAGAATAATTTAAAAGGCGTCTAAGAAATGTTCCTCCAGGATTACTTATTATGCATCAACATTTGTTGTGCCATGGTCATCATTTGTATTTAAAAATTTTAATCAACTAATTTTATGTAACTTTTTTAAGTTAAATGATATGCTTTATTTGTACAAACATTGCAGGAATATTTTAAAATGTTTACTTTCATGTGGTACAATATTATCATTAATCATTTGTGTGCATATACGGACTATTTTTTTATTCAAACAAGATAATGTTTGGGGACTGAAAATGGTGTTTGTCATCAAGTAAAAATTACTTTATAAGTAGGGTTTTAAAATTTCCGTAAAAATTGAGCCGGCGAAAAAAACCTTTTTTTTCGGAAAAACGGAAAAATTTAAACTCAAAGAATAATACGAAAAAAATTCAAAAAAAATTTTTGCGGAAAATATCCGCACCTACTCTGATATCGAGAAAAAAGTGAATGTCTGACGCTAAATATAATCACATATAATTATAATTTTCGTTTTATAAATCATTCATTATTTTGTAATTGGATATTTTCAATGCACACCTTTTGCACACCTTTTGCAAAAAGAACCCAACCGACAGTATATTTAACGTTTACGTTTATTTTCTTGAATCAAATAAATTCTTAAAACAATTTCATGTTTAGTTTTATTTTTTTTTTGTAATAAAGGTTTTTTGATTGATTGTTACTTTTATTAAAATCTGTAGTTATACTTATATTTTCCAAAAAATATTCAATTTATTCCAATAAGCCAGAGCAAAAAAAACGGAAAAATTTTTTTTTCCAATTTTTTCCCCACAGTTTTAACCTTATATTGTTAAGTATTGCTAATTTTAAAACTTAAATAATTTTTTATTTAAATTTTAGGTACTATTGATTAACTCTTAAATTCATATACATATATGAATTTAAGAGCTAATCAATAGTACCTAAAATTTAATAAAAATACATATATGCGCACCTGGTCTTGTTTGTAATTCATTAATTGTCCAAGTATTATAACTTATTTATTTAAATGTTTACAGTGTTTTATGTAGCATTAATTTTGTTTTGTGCTATTTTAATAATAATCCTTATAAAGCGTGATTCCCTTTTATTACTTTATAGTGATTAAAGTTGTATATTAGGTTGGAGGATTAATGAAAGATATTAAATGTATTTAAATATAATGTTGCATTTTTGCGATTTTAAGAAAAAACATCAAAATTATCACTTTCCTTTGTTTCACTTCCCCGGGTCTACACTCAGAAAATTTTTTAATAAATATAACAAAAAAAGTAGTTTGTCTTAATAAAGTAAAGATCCCTATTCGTCCAACAATTGCTTTTGTTACGGCAAAAAGATCATTTTTATAAAAATTATTTATCTACAAACGCTGCTTTCAGTAATAGCATTTGTATTAATTATAAAGTAAATTTACGTTATGTTTATAAAAATATTACTCTTTCAGATGCAGAAACGCATTGATAAATACAGTTTTTATTATTTGTCCAAAAAAACAGTTCTATACCGTTAACAAAAAGGTTTTGTAGTATTAATGAAACCCTATAACATTATAATGTTATTATTCATAGAAATATTGTAAATTTGACAAATCCCTTTTCGTTTAAAATAAAACTTTTTTTATTATATTAATAAAATTTATGTTAACAACAAATTAATTGTTAATTCAATAAACTATTTTCATTGTAACAATGGTCAAATTTTCAACCTACTGTTGGGTGTTGGGTAGTTTTTTTTTAAATAATTGCAAGGCATTAAAACAAATTATTTATTATAACAAAAAAATTAACTCATATTATATGATGTACAAAATAAAAAAAAATACGAACTCACTTTTTAAACAACAAGTCTGCTTCGTTTATAGAATAGACCTTAAATATTTCTGTTACAAAACGTCGGAATTTTAATTTTCTTAGTGATCTTTTTGATATTTTTATCATGCTAGATTTTACCACACTTCACTCGCACAAGTGAAATCAATAAGATTATA